TCATTAAACTGTACGTGGATAATGAAGGGAAACAGAAAACAAAGTAGCAGGGAATGGAAAGGGCATAGATGAGAGCCAGACAGGCAGTGCTCAGCTACCAGGCCTTAGTGCCTGTGTCTCCTCCTCCAGGAAGCCTCCCAGACTCCAGGCTGGGCCAGGCTTCTGCATTGCAGCTCTGACCACTCTAGGTGGTTATCTTCTGGGAACTGTTACCATGAACCCTCCCCCCGTAACAGGGCCAAGACTGTTTGTCGCCAATGGATGCCCAGCCATTGCCCACCTAGAGGTGACCCACAGTGCAAATGTTGAATAATATTTGGTCAGAGCAATGATTGCTTAATTTAAACACGTCATTTTTTGGCTTTGGATTTTTTTTGTTTTGTTTTTTGTTTGCTTTTGTTTTGTTTTTTTTGTTTTTTGTTTTTTGTTTTTGAGAAGGGGTTTTAATACATGGCTCAAGAAGGCTTTGTAGACCAGGCAGGCCTCAATCAAGAGCATCCTGCCTCAGCCTCCTGAGTGTTGTGATTATAGGTATGTGCCACCATGCTAGACCTGTCTTAACACAGTGTGTTCCCAAAAAACCCAGGGCCTGACAAATGCTGGGCAGGTGCTCTACCACTGAGCCACACCTCAGCCCCTCACTGGGGGATTCTAGGCAGGTGCTCTACCACTGAGCCACACCGCCAGCCCCTCACTGGGGGATTCTAGGCAGGAGCTCTACCACTGAGTCACACCCCAGCCCCTCACTGGGGGATTCTAGGCAGGGCTCTACCACTGAGCCACACCCCGGCCCCTCACTGGGGGATTCTAGACAGGAGCTCTACCACTGAGTCACACCCCAGCCCCTCACTGGGGGATTCAAGGCAGGGGCTCTACCATTGAGTCATGCTCCTACCCAGCATTCTTTTTTCACACATGTGGAAGCTGAGACTGTGTTTTTGGTTGGGTCTGAATCTTGTTGTCTTCACCATTTAACCATGCTGGGACAACCTATGACCCTCCCTAGGCAAACCCTACAGCCCAAGAGGGAGCCTAAGGCAGCGGGGCCGGGGTTGGGGAAGGTCTCTGTCCTCTGCCCTTCATCCGAAGTCAGCACACAGGGTAGCTGTTTGCTGTTTGGTGCCTGCAATGTTTGCTCATCCCAGGGACAGGAACAGACTGAAGGTCGTCCAGGGTGGACAGCAGGGTCAACTAAAAAAAAATGTGCCGGGGAGGGGATGGGAGGAGAAAGAACAGGGATTAGGGAAGGGGTGGGAGAGGACCCTGATACGACAGCGTCCATCTGAGGACTTAGGGGCATCCCTGAGACCTAAACTGTCCTTCAAGTCGCCTAGTAAACAGAAACCCTCCTTTTATCTCTCTTTTTGGCTTTGGAGACAGAGAAACACTGTAGCCAGGCTGGTCTCAAGCTCCTGGTGATCCTCCTGCTGCTGGAACCTCGCAGGTCCCTACTCTCCTCCCCTCTTGGTCCCCCTATCTCATGATCTCATCATGATTGGGAATCTCTGCTCTTCCTGCTGAGTCCTCAACCCACACTCTTCTTACTCAACTCTCAGGGATTTCTAACTTCTCCAGCTGGACGCTTGGGGTTGTGGCAGGGAAATTTGGAGTGAAAGGGTATTTGAGGGGCTGGTGGTGTGGCTCAGTGGTAGAGCCCCTGCCTAGAATCCCCCAGTGAGGGGCTGGTGGTGTGGCTCAGTGATAGAGCCCCTGCCTAGAATCCCCCAGTGAGGGGCTGGGGGTGTGTCTCAGTGGTAGAGCCCCTGCCTAGAATCCCCCAGTGAGGACTGGGGGTGTGGCTCAGTGGTAGAGCCCCTGCCTAGAATCCCCCAGTGAGGGGCTGGGGTGTGGCTCAGTGGTAGAGCCCCTGCCTAGAATCCCCCAGTGAGGGGCTGGGGTGTGGCTCAGTGGTAGAGCCCCTGCCTAGAATCCCCCAGTGAGGGGCTGGGGATGTGGCTCAGTGGTAGAGCCCCTGCCTAGAATCCCCCAGTGAGGGACTGGGGGTGTGTCTCAGTGGTAGAGCCCCTGCCTAGAATCCCCCAGTGAGGGGCTGGGTGTGTGGCTCAGTGGTAGAGTCCCTGCCTAGAATCCCCCAGTGAGGGGCTGGGGTGTGGCTCAGTGGTAGAGTCCCTGCCTAGAATCCCCCAGTGAGGGGCTGGGGTGTGGCTCAGTGGTAGATCACCTGTCCAAGCACAAAGCCCAGGGTTCAATTCTCAACAGTAGGGGGGAAAAAAAAATCCCTAACCTCTGGAGTGTGCCAAAGCCATTCCCTCTGGGCCTAGAGCACAGTGTGTGTAAGGAAGCACTTGCCAAGAAAAGATGTGAGGGCTCAGTTGGGAGAGTACTTGCTTAGCATACATTTGGCCTTGCATTCTATCCTCAGGCCAGCATAAAATTAGGTGTGGTGGCGCAGACCTGTGAGCTGAGCACTTGGAAGGCAGATACAAGGTAATTACAGTTCCAGGCACCCAGGCTACATCGGGAGAATCCTTATTCAAAAAAAATCAAAGCCTGGTCAAGTGCTGGTGGCACATATCTTTGGTTCCTGCGCTCTGGAGGCAGAGGCAGGCAGATTTCTGAGTTCGAGGCCAGCCTGGTCTACAGAGTGAGTTCCAGGCCAGCCAGAGCTACATAGTGAGACCTTGTCTCAAAAATACCAATAAATATATCAAAGCCTGGTGTGGTGACTTACAGCTATCCTCCTGCCTCTGCTTCCTGAGTGCTGGAATTAAAGGCCTGTGCCACCATGCCTGGCTATCAAATCTAATTTATTTTTTTCAAAAATGAATAAATAAATAGCAGCTGTCTGTTAGTTACACTGTGTTTGCCCATCTCCTGATGCCCTGTCCTGTCTCAGGCCAGCCTCCAAGCCAGGTAATTATCCAGTCACTTTTCAGCGTGAAGCAGTCCGCCTACAGCAGTTAAGCCTACAGCTGGCACCAGGTCTCAATGCTGAAACCAGGCGGGGTTTGCCTATGAGCTCCACAGCCCTCTTGCTCTTGTGGCCAGCAGGGTCTTCCTATGTCACCCCAGCTCAAACTCAGCAATCCTCCTGCCTCAGCTTCTCAAGTTCTGGGATGCCAGGCGTGCACCACCACAGCCATGTCCATCCAGCAAGAGGTCCTCTCTGTAGCAAGACACGGGGATCTGCGGTGGGTGGGTTTGCGCTTCTGTTTTCTTTTTTTATTATTGTGGAAAAAAAAACAAAACAAAACAAAACCACAGAACACAAAATTGGCCATTTCAGCCACTTTCGGGTGTTTAGGTCGGCAGTTTTATACTGTTTTGCAACCAACCCCAAAGTCTATTCCTAAAATGTTTGCATCATGGCAGACAGCAGCTCTGCGTGACTTTTCTTTTTTTTTTTTAAACTGTCCTAGAGAAGCTGACATGTGATGAGCAGCTACCGGTGTGACCGGTCAGTTCTCTGCAGGCGTCTGGGTCAGGGTTGCTCGGTCCAGCTGCTCAGGCTGCAGTTGAGATTCCGGTCAGGAGATTTGCTGCGTGGAAACAGCGTGTGTTGGGCATGTGATGGCATGTCATCCCAGTGCTGGGAAGGTAGAGGCCCCGGAGGATCGGCAATACAAGGCCAGTCAAGGTTGCCCTGAGAACCTTTCTCAATAAACAATAAACAAACAAATAGGAAACCACAGGGTACTCGGTTACATTTCAACTTCAGATGAATAGGTAATGTTTAAGGAGTTATTTGGTGAAATCCCCAAATCTTGCATGGAACACATTTAAATTAATTTTTGTTTCATTGATGTGGTTTACCCTTGAAACCATAGAACCCAAGAGGCTGAGGCAAAAGGGTCCTAACAAGACCTGCCTCATTCAGAGAGAGGGAGGGGGAGGCAGAGAAGAACGGAGTCAAGATGGCCCCACAGATAAGGGCACCTGCGGCCAAGCCTAACTACCGAGCTTGATCCCTGGGATTCACATGGTGGAAGGAGAGACCCAACTCCGGAAAGCTAAAGTTGTCCTCGGACCTCCACATGTATTCAGTGGCATGGACAGACCCACAGGCACACAACACACACACACACAGACAGAGAGAGAGAGAGAGAGAGAGAGAGAGACACACACAACACACACACAACACACACACAACACACACACACAGACACAGAGAGAGAGAGACACACACACACAACACACACACAGACACACAGACACACACACAGACACACACACAGATACACACACAACACACACAAAAGAATAAACATACTTAAAAACAATTAAAGTGCCACTGGGATGGCTTAGTGGTTAACAGTATCTTCCAGAGGACCTGAATCCGACTCCCAGCATCCACATCAGGCGGCTCACATCCAGTTCCAGGGAAATCTGACACCTCTGGCCTCTGTGGGCACCTGCAGTCACGTACACATACCCCCCAACACAGACACACACACATACACATGAGTAAAAATACACTTTAAAAATATTGCCAGGCATTGGTGGCACACACCTTTAATTCCAGCACTGGGGAGGTAGAGACAGGCTGATCTCTGTGAGTTCGAGGCCAGCCTGGTCTACAGAGTGAGTTCCAGGACAGCGAGGACTATGCAGAGAAACCCTGTCTAGAAAAAAAAAAAAAAAAGTTAACTAAAAGAACTCAAAACCCAAGCCACACAGGGACGAAGGACTGTAATCGCAGCTATCCCAGATGCTGAGGCAGGAGGACCAGGATTCCAGGTTCTGCTTGGGCTGCTTAGTGAGACCTTGTTACAAAATAAAAAGTACAAAGGAGAGCCAGGTGTGGTGGCACATGCCAGTAACCCCAACATGTGGGAGGTGGAGGCAGGAGGATAAGGATTCCAGATCACTCTTGGTGATATATTGAGTTCCAGGACAGCCTGGGCTACAGGAGACCCTGTCTCAAAATAAATCAGAACAACCCTCCCTCCCTCCCCTGCCCCCACTCCCCGCCACACACACCAATTTCTCAAGGCTAGGTTGTGGTCTCGATTCCCAAAGGGAGAAACTGAGTCCAGAGAAAGTCTGGTGGCGTCAGGATTTTAATCCAGTTTAGTGTGGGAGCTCCCGTCAGGTCAGGAAGGGCGGGAAAGAGCGATCAGGCGGGCGGGCATGGTCTTTGACTGTCCCGTCACCAGGCCCGTCTCTTGAAGTCCTGCCAAGAGAAGTGGGGAGGTGACAGAGGGAGGTCTCTTTCCAGGGCTGCCTGTCTCTTCCCCAGTGTACAGAGTGGAGCACAGAGGACAGAGGGTCAAGTCCCCAGAAATGTCCCTCCTGGGATGCAGGCTGCAGGCCCTGCCCCCCCTTTGCCTCTCCGTGCTGCTCCTGGCCTGCCTTGTAGGTGAGGAGTGGGGGGCTTGCTGGAGGTGGGGGTCCTCTGGGTGGGGCGTGACTGTGGCTTCATCAAATGGGTCAGTAGCCATGTACGAGGAGTGTGACACACACACACACACACACACACACACACACACACACACACACACCACACACGGGGATGGAACACAGGTTCTTCAGATACCAGATAAACACTCTACCACAGGCTGTTTGTTTTCTTTCTTTGGAGACATGGTCTCATGTAGTCCGGGGCTGGCTTTGAACTCTCGATACTGCTAAGGATGATCTTGAATTCCTAACACTCTTGCCTGTTCAGATTACAGGCATGCCCCACCACACCTGGTTTATTTGGTGCTGGGCATCAAATTCAGGGCCTTGTGCGTGCAAGACAAGAACTCTCTCAGCAAAGCCTTATGCTTAGCCACTGGATCCCAGCGGCTGTTGTAACAAATGTGCATGTCCCACGATGGGCACAAGTACACCTTTTGTTGTTGTCTGATACTATGTATTTGTGATGTTTTTGTTGTTGAGGTTTTTTGTTTTGTTTTGAGACAGGGTCTCAGGTAGCCCAGGCTGGCCTTGAACCCCTGATTCTCCTGAGTCTATCTCCTAAGCACTAGAATTACAGGTGTGCAATGCTTCCTGGGTGGGCATGTGTGTGTGTGTGGCTCTCTACAGGGTACCTGTATGGAAGTTCTAACCATGTGGCTACAGAGGAGGCTGTTTCTAGTGTGTTCACACATAGTATCTTATTTTGTGCGTGCATTTAAAATGGTATCTTGTGAGCAGAGTATGTTGGTACAGGTCTGTAATCCCGATTACTCAAAGGCTGAAGCAGGAGGATTGAAGGTTTGGAGTCCTCCTGACAGTTTAGTGATACTCAATCTTTGAAAATACAGAAAATGGGGACTGCCGGGTGGCACTCGCCTTTAATCCCAGCACTCAGACAGAGACAGGTGAATCCCTGGGAGTTCGAGGCCAGCCTGGGCTACACAGTGAGTTACAGGACAGCCAGGGTTATACAGTGAGACCCTGTCTTAAAATACGTGTGCTTCAGGGCTGGAGAGATGGCTCAGCAGTTAAGAGCACTGACTGCTCTTCCAGAGGACCTGGGTTCAGTTCCCAGCACCCACATGATGTCTCACAACCCTCTGTCACTCCAAGATCTGACACCCTCATACAAGCATACAGGCAGGCAAAACACCAGTGCTCATAAGATGAAAATAAAGAGATACACACGCTTCTCCCACAGACAGTGCTGATGGCGTGCCTGTGTACTCCTCACATGCTTAGCTTGGTGCCCCTTCACAGAATGAGAGACTGTCTTGGAGTGGTGAAGTCATAGGTGAGGCTTCTGACAGCAGGTGACATAAGTGTCTTGGTACTAGAGTACGTGTGTGGTCCTGGGTATGGTGGTACATGCCCGGAACCCCAGCACTTGGGAGGTGGACCAAGGCAGGAGGATCAGGAGTTCAAAGCTAGCCTCAGCCACATAGGAAGTTGCTGGACAAGCCGAGGATGTGGCTCAGTTGGTAGAGTGCTTAGATGGCACACGGGAAGCCCTGGGTTCCAGCCCCAGCACTGCATGAACCAGGATGGGAGCACACACCTGTCAGCCCACCACTTTGGAGGTGGGGTCAAGAGGATCAGCAGTTAGAATTCTGATCAGCAGATCAGAAGTTATCCTCGGCTACATGAGGCCAGCCAGGACTGCAAGAGACCTGTCTCCATCCATCCATACATACATACATACATACATACATACATACATACATCCATACATACATACACACAAATGAAGCTTGAGGGATGGATTAGTGGTTAACGACATGTACTGGAGTTCAGTTCCCAGGCTCACAACTGCCTGGAACCCCAGTTCTAGGGGATCTGATGCCTTTGGCCTCCCTAGGCAGTGCACTGGCTTACATACTCATACAGAGAATAAAAAAAGTCTTTTAAAAAATGTTTAAACAGGTCGGGCATGGTGGCGTACATCTTTAATCCTAACACTTGGGAGGCAGAGGCAGGTGGATCTCTGTGAGTTTGAGGCCAGCCTGGTCTACAGAGTAAGTTCCAGGGCAGTCAGTGTTACACAGAGAGACCCTGTCTCAAACAAACAAACAAATGAGGTTAAAACAAAAAAACACAAGCATAAGAATGAGCATCTATACTTGTGTGCAGGCTAGTATCTTCGGGTGAGTATCTAGGTGTGGGTGCTAGAGCAAGAGGGGTGTGTGTGTGTGTGTGTGTGTGTGTGTGTGTGTGTGTGTGTGTGTAAGGAAGAGAACTGTGACCCAGAGAGACTAAAAGCAAAGCTGAGGACATTGTCCACGGCAGAGGATGAATCAAAATGGGCTTTTGCTCCTCCGTGTATGGAGGCAGCCGCTAGTCTTATGTGACATACTGGGAGGAGGTAGTTAGTGGCTGTTCCAGGGCAGGGGTCAGCCTTGGGCAGTAGGATTAAATGGTTAGAGGAAAGAGGCACCAGGCGGGAAGTGGAGCTGCAGACTGAGCAAGAAAATCTCAGGAGTCGGAGGGGGAGATGGCCCAGTGGTGGGAGTGAGGGCAGTGGTGTCAGGGGCCAAGCCGGTGGCCAGGGATGGGCAAGGGTGTGCAAGACACAAGGCACTTGCCTGTCGCTTGCTTCCAGGAGGCACAATAGCCCTCCCATAGGAAGTCATTGTGCCCCTTTCTACAGGATGGGAAACTGAATCTAGGACAGGGCAAGTCAGGTGTGGCCTCTGATGATGGGTGACGTGGGTGTCTGGGTACAAAGGTGAGTTACACAGGGAGAGAGGAATGGGGTTCTGGGATCCTGGCTCACTCAAGCGCCTCTGTGATTTCCCCCAGCATCCATGACTACAGAAAGCCTGATCCCCACCCCTGCCCCTGAGAACAGCCGCTGGGGCCTGGTCAGGGCCAGGGTGGTGGAGATGGTGAGCCCACTGGTGACCAGGACCAGGGACAGATGGCAGTGGTTCTGGTGAGAGAGTTCTGGTACTTGGCTGGGAGGGAACACCGGGTTAGAGGAAAGAGAGCCAGTGGCTAGACCCCGGGTCTGAGGGAGGAGGGCTGGGTCTGGACCCCGGGTCTGAGGGAGGAGGGCTGGGCCTGGACCCCGGGTCTGAGGGAGGAGGGCTGGGTCTGGACCCCGGGTCTGAGGGAGGAGGGCTGAGCCTGGACCCCGGGTCTGAGGGAGGAGGGCTGGGCCTGGACCCCGGGTCTGAGGGAGGAGGGCTGAGCCTGGACCCCGGGTCTGAGGGAGGAGGGCTGGGCCTGGACCCCGGGTCTGAGGGAGGAGGGCTGGGCCTGGACCCCGGGTCTGAGGGAGGAGGGCTGGGCCTGGACCCTGGGTCTGAGGGAGGAGGGCTGGGCCTGGACCCCGGGTCTGAGGGAGGAGGGCTGGGGTCTGGACCCTGGGTCTGAGGGAGGAGGGCTGGGTCTGGACCCCCGGGTCTGAGGGAGGAGGGCTGGGTCTGGACCCCCGGGTCTGAGGGAGGAGGGCTGAGCCTGAACCCCTGGGTCTGAGGGAGGAGGGCTGGGTCTGGACCCCCGGGTCTGAGGGAGGAGGGCTGGACCTGGACCCCCGGGTCTGAGGGAGGAGGGCTGGGCCTGGACCCCTGAGTCTGAGGGAGGAGGGCTGGGCCTGGACCCCCGGGTCTGAGGGAGGAGGGCTGGGCCTGGACCCCTGGGTCTGAGGGAAGTTAAGAGTCTGGAGTCTTGAGTCTGAAGAAGGTCAGAAATAAATGGGCCGTGCCCCTGTGGCATCTACGGTGTCAACTAGGATGTCCTCTGTACACAGGGGCCCTGGGGCTGTCCAGGGCTTTGTACGGACCTACTATGAAGACCATTTGAAAGACCTGGGTCCCCGCACGCAGGCCTGGCTGCAAAGCTCCAGAGACCATCTCCTGAACAAGACCCTCAGCCTGTGTCCCCAGCTGCTCTGCAGAGACCTGACTCAGGGTTAAAGTGCCACACACCTCCCCCCACTACCCCTCACCTCCCCCCACATCTCCCACCTCCACACCCCCCACACCCCCTTCACCCCCCCACCCCCCCACCCCGGCTCCCACAATAAAGCTGTTTGTTCTTACTCTGTGTCACCTGCTGAGAAGCTCCTCTTGAGGCCAGAGGTCACCCCTTGTCATATCTAGGAGTTAGTAAGAGGAAATGCTGTCACCTGGCAGGGGAGGACACTAGGAAAGCTTTAGAGGAAGGGGCCAAGTTGACAACCCCCTCCCTCCCCACACGGTTCCGGCTTGAAGTGAACAGGAGACTTCCCGGCGCCTGCTCAGATCCAGGAGGCAAAGTCCTGAAGGTGACAGGGTCAGAGGAACCTTATCTTCACAGTGCCCCTCACTTCCTAGACCATGCAAACCTCAAACCCTATTCCAAGTGGTTCCCTAAACCCCAAAACCCCTCCACATTATCCAGCCATTACTCTCAGGAATTGGGGGCTTGTCTCTCTTCCTTTTGGGGGAGGCAGTGGGGGAGATTCTAAGAATCGAACCCAGGGCCTCATACACACCAGGTAAGTGCCCTCTTTTCAAAATTACAGGCTACATAGCAGGAGGGACCCGAGGATGACTGTGGCTTATAATAAGTTTGGTTTTACTCAATTACTGGGCAAGCCTCAACGAAACATTTCACTATTAGGATAAGAATTTGTACTGTATCAAGCTGATGATAGGAATAAATAAATAAATAAATAAGTGGGAAAAATTACATTTATGCCAGGCTGTGGTGGTGGTGCACACCTTTAATCCCAGCACTCGGGAGGCAGAGCCAGGCGGATCTCTGTGAGTTCAAGGCCAGCCTGGTCTACAGAGGGAGTTCCAGGACAGTCAGGGCTACACGGAGAAACCCTGTCCTGAAAACGCAAAACAAAACAAAAATTACACATATTTAGGGGGTGACAAAGTAGCCGAATGGTTAAGGCAATGGACTGCTAAAAATTACATACATTTATGTGTGTGTGTTTGTGCTCACGCAAGTGTATGTGCCATGTGTACATGTAGAGGTCAGAAGACTACTTTCAGGGGTTGTTCTCTCCATTCTTTTCAGGGACTGAACTCAGGTCATCAGTCTTGGTAGCAAGCTCCTTTACGCGATGGGCCAACTTTCCCAGAATTCTTCTTATATAGGATCTCACTATGTAGCCCTGGCTGTCCTGGAACTTACCGAGTTGCTCTGACTGGCTTTGTTTTTCGTTTTGAGCTGGGCATGGTGCTACAAACCTGTAATCTCAGCACCTGGAAGATGCGAAGCTCAGGGACAGCCTCGGCTACACAGAGAGTTCCGGGGAAGCCTGAGCCACTTAGGACCCTGTGTGAATTAAACTAAAGCAGAGCCTTTTTCGTTCTCAGATAAAATCTTGCTAAGTCGCCCAGTGAGTGGCTCTTGCACTGAATTCATGATCCTCCTGCCTCAGTCTTCTGAGAGAACTCAGAGAACGTCTGAGGTCCGTCACAGCTCTGCCCAGCTTCTGGGTAGCTTTTTCAAAACGGGGCTTCCCTGTGGTTTGACGTGGCAGGGAAGTCACTGGTCACTGCCCTCCCAGCCCTGCCACCCCACCCCCTCAGCGGCTCTGTTGGCCAGGACTTTGGCCTAGGACAGAGGACCTGACTGATATGGAGGGAGGGGGCCCTCCAAAGCTATAAAGCCTGCCAGCCCACTGGAGTCAGTGAGGACAGTCCCAACCTGCCTGTTACATTCAGGTAAGAGAGGGACAGAAGGGAGGGGGGCAGGAATATGGGGCGGGGGAAAGGAACATCCGGGAGGGGCAAAGATTCCTAAATCAGAAATTACCGGTGTCACCTTGTTAGAGGTCGGTCTTGGAATCATGGAATGGATGGATTTTTATTTTATTTTATTTGAGATAAGGTCTCTCACTATGTTGTAGCCCAGGCTAGCCTTGAAGTTTTGATCCTCCTGCCTCAGTCTGGTGAGGCATGCTCTGTGTGCCTGACTAACACCACAGAGTTTAGATATGTAGTCTATTTGTTTAGCTTGGCCCTTCTCCCAGGTTTGATCTCTGCCTCTACCTCTTTTTTTTTTTTTTTTTTTTTGGTTTTTCGAGACAGGGTTTCTCTGTGTAGCTTTGCGCCTTTCCTGGAACTCACTTGGTAGTCCAGGCTGGCCTCGAACTCACAGAGATCCGCCTGGCTCTGCCTCCCGAGTGCTGGGATTAAAGGCGTGCGCCACCACCGCCCGGCCTCTACCTCTTTTTAAAAACATCTTCCCTATCTCAAAAAACCAAAAAAAAAAAAAAAAAAAAAAAAAAAAAAAATTAAAAGCCGGGCGGTGGTGGCACACACCTTTAATCCCAGCACTTGGGAGGCAGAGCCAGGCGGATCTCTGTGAGTTTGAGGCCAGCCTGGTCTACAGAGTGTGATCCAGGACAGGCACCAAAACTACACAGAGAAACCCTGTCTTGAAAAACATCTTTTATTTATGTGTATAGATGTTTTGCCTCCATGCATGTCTGCGCTCCATGTGCAGCCTTGGCTCCCCACAGGAGAGAACATTGGATTCCTGGGAACTGGAGTTACAGTTTTGAGCCGCCATTTGGGTGCTGGGAATTGAGCCCGGGTCCTCTGGAAGAGCAGCCGGTGTTCTTAACCGCTGAGCCATCTCTCCAGCCCCGATTTCAGCCTGTTTGTCTCTCAGTTTTCCATTCCCAAAGTATGGGTGATGACTTTGTGCCTTAGTTATACAAACCGTAGGAAATGGGAGCAGGCCGCTGAGAGAAGCCGAAGGGAAGGAAGCTCAAGGCTCTAGGGACACTAGAGCCACAAGTGGAGGTGTGAACTCTGTCCCAGGGTGTCTGTCCTCTCTCTCTCTCTCTCTCTCTCTCTCTCTCTCTCTCTCTCTCTCTCTCTCTCTCTCTCTCTCTGTAGCTCTGACTGACCTGGATCTTGCTCTGTAGACCAAACTGGTCCTCGAACTCACAGAGATCCACCTGCCTCTGCCTCCGGAGTGCTGGGATTAAAGCTGTGCGCCACCACCACCTGGCTACTTGTTCTTATATTTTAATTTTTTATTTGAGCGTTCATGTGTGGCGTGTGTGCATGTGCCGTGGCACATATGTAGCAGTCAGACAACAATTTGTAGGAGTTGGTTCTCTCCCTCCCCCGTGTGGGTTCCAGGGATTGAACTCAGGTCCTCAGGCTTGGTGGCAGATGCCGTTACCCGCTAAACCATCCACACTGAATGCCCATCCTCAAGGTTTGTTTTTTTTTTTTTAATTTTAAATTTTATTATTTTTTATTTATTATTTTATAATTTAATTTAATTTTACATATCAGCCACGGGTTCCCCTGTCCTCCCTCCTCCCGCCCCCCATCCTCAAGGTTTTAACAAAGAATTTGTTTGTTTTAAAAGGGTTTGTTTATATTTCCTACCAATCCAGGCCTGTTTAGGCCTCACTACAGCTTTCCTGAGAGAGTGAATGAATGAATGGAGAGATGTTTCTCTCGTTCCTTGACTGCACTTCACTAGCATGTAGAAGGCTCTCAGTGGCATCTCTACTACTTGGGGAAAAAAATGTTCCCTGACACTGTGCTACGTGACAGCAATCTCAGCCCTCCAGAGGCAGGGCACTGCTGTGAGTTCCAGGCCAGCCTGATCTGCTTGGAAAGAATCTGTTTCTTATTTTTGTTTTCTTCTTAGGAAAGGAAAGAAAAGGGCAGATGTTGTCAAAATCTAGAGAGCAGAACTGGAGTTGTAGCTCTGTGGGTAGAGTGAGACATGCTCAGGGTCCTAGATTCACTTCCCAGTACCACATAAAGCTGGGTGTGGCGGCACACACCAGTGATCCCGGCACTCTAGAGGTGGAGGCAGGGGGAGCATCCTAGTGTTCAGGGTTATCCTAAGGTACTTAGTCAGTTTGAGGCCAGCCTGGGCTCTATGAGACTTTGTGTTGAAAAGAAAGGGGGGCGGGCATTGGAGAGATGACTCAGTGGTGAAGAGCACTTGCTGCTCTCGCAGAGGACCTGGGTTTGATTCATGGCACCCACAAGGTGGCTCACAAACCTCTCTAACTCCAGTTTCAGGGGATCCAGTTCCTTTTTTGGCCTCTGCAGGCACTAGGCACCTACTCGGTATTGTATGCAATTATATACGTGCAGGCAAAACACCCACATACATCTATTTTATTACTATTGTTTTGTTTGGTTTTCTTCCAGACAGGGCCTCATTCCATATAGCTCTGGCTGTCCTGGAACTCACTATGTAGACTAGGCTGGCCTTGAACTCACCGAGATCCACCTTCCTCTGCCTCCCAAGTATTGGAATTAAAGTCATATGCCACTATGCCTGGCTTCATATACTTAAAAAAAAAAAAAAAAAAAAAAAAGCCGGGTGGTGATGGTGCATGCCTTTAATCCCAGCACTCGGGAGGCAAAGCCAGATGGATCTCTGTGAGTTCAAGGCCAGCCTGGGCTACAGACTGAGTTCCAGGACAGCTAAGACTTACACAGAGAAATCCTGTCTTGAAAAAAAAAATAGAATTCCAGAAGACACCTCTTCTGAATCAACAGGTTTAAAGTCCTTGTTGGGCAGGAGCAGGGACAGACCAGGGTCCCCGCCCAACCCCGGGGAATAGGATCTAGCAACCGACTCCTGTCTAACACGCTACTGTCCTCAGTGCACCAGGTCACAGACAGCATGGGCTCTCGGTTCCTCCTGGCTCTCCTCCTTGTTTTCCTGGTGTTGGGATATGGTGAGTGGGGCTGCAAGGAGGTGGTGGTGGTGGTGGGGTCACGAGGAAGGGGTGGGGTCATCGTTGAGCATCTTTCCACTCTCCTCTGCCACTCCTCTCCTTCCGGAACAATGCTTCCGCTTACCCAAAGCCCCCCTCAGTGCCTCCAATCCAACTGTCACCTCATGTTCCCCACAGAGGTCCAAGGGTCCCAGCAGCTCCAGCAAGATGATCCAGGCAGCCCGGCTCTGCTGGACAAGATGCAGGAGTCCATCTCCGGTTACTGGACCATTGCTAAGGCAGCTGCTGAAGACCTGTACCAGAAAACATACCTGACCAGTGTGGATGAGAAACTCAGGTGCGTCCTGCCCAGTGGAGACAGAGCCCAGCATACCCCCTCAGACACCAGAGTCTAGGCCCCACCCCTCTCCCTTAGACATGTGGGTCCAAGCTCTACCCCTCCTACCCCAATCCTAGGAATCCAAACACCAGCCTCCTCCCTCAGATGCTCGGGTCCCGGCCTAAGCCTTTCTCTCTCAGGCCTCAACTCTTCTTTCCTCAATCCCAGGAGTTTCGAACCCTGCCTTCTTCCCTCAGGCTCAGGGACCACGCCCAGCCCTCCTCCCTCACACCAAGGGGTCCAGACCCCAGCCGTCTCTCTCAGACCAAGGAATAGAGGCACCATCTCTTTTCTCTCAAATGCAGAGGTCCAGACCCTGGCTTGTCTCTGTTTCCAGGCTCTTCCTCCAACCCCCCTGTGCTTTCTCTCCAGGGACATGTACAGCAAAAGCTCGGCGGCCATGAGCACTTACGCGGGCATTTTTACGGACCAGCTCCTTACTCTCCTAAAGGGCGAGTAATGCCACGCAACCCCCGTGTTAGGGGACGGGAGAAGCGGGCACTCGACCATGTTGCTCTCATCACTTGACCAGGATGGTCCTACATTCCCCTGTCCCAGCAGCTCTCATCTTCCTGTTCCCAACTCCAGACTGAATTCTTTCAGTGAAAGAATAAATCAATCCCAGTTCATTGACTTTGGTGTGGCTTTTTTTCTGAGGCTCCCAGAGCCAAGATGGAGGGCCTACGGAATCTAGTCGATGTTTGATGGGCGTGGTTTTATGATGAGATGGTTAGCATCCTGCATTCTGAACATTTGGTGAGCACCCGCATGTCTGTGACTAAAACTCCAAACCTGGTCCAGTGGAATGAAGGGGTGACTGCTAGCCAGGCATGTGGGTTTGAATCTGCAACCCTGGCACTTGACACCTGAGGCAGGAGGATCCTAGCAATTCTAAGTCCTGGGCTACATAATGACTTTTAGTTTTCTTTTTAAATCACGTTTGTTTATTTATTTGTTTGTTTGTTTTTTTGAGACAGGGTCTCTCTATGTAGCTCTGACTGTCCCAGAACTCATTCTATAGACCAGGCTGGCCTTGAACTCACAGAGATCCCTGTCTGTGCTTCCCAAGTGCTGGGATCAAAGGTGTGCACGCACCACCACACCCTGCTCCCCCCGCCTTTTTTTAAATGCACAGCAGGATTTTCGAGGCCAGCCTAGGTGGCAGTGTAAGATCTGTCTCAAAACATACATACAACAACAACATACACACACACACACACACACACACACACACACACACACACACACACACACAAACATCCCCAAAATATCCAGATGTAGCAGCTGGAGCCTATATTTACAACACTCCCAAAGTCCTGAGGTGGAGGCAGGGAAATGAGAAACTCAAGGTCATTCTCCACTATATAGTGAGTTTCAACCCAGCCTGGGCTACATGAGACCCTATTTCAAAACCAAACAAAACCAAGTCGACAAAAAAAAAAAAACAAAAAACAACAAAACAAAAAATGGCTGGTTAAGGTGGCTCAGTGAGTACAGATGGTCTATCCCAGAACCCACATCAACTTGGGAGGGGAGAATCACTTCACAAAGTTGTCTTCTGGCCTCCACAGGTGTGCTGCATGTGTGTGGTACATGCTCACTCACACATCAGCTTATGTACACAATAATCATAGCTCATGACTACCCGGGCAGTGATGGCGCACTCCTTTATTCCCAGTACTCGGGAGGTGGTGGCAGGCGGATCTCTGTGAGTTCGAGGCCAGCCTGATCTACAGAGTGAATTCCAGGACAGCTGGGGCTGTTACACAGAGAAACCCTGTCTCGAGAAACAAAATAAACAGAAAAAGACAAGAAAGGAAAAAAGATCATGGCTATGGCTCTTGCTTAGCCTGGGTGAGGATCCTCAGCTCAAGTCAGAGTACCGACGAACAGAAAAGGCATGGAAATAAGTTGTCCAAACAGAAGCCTGGCACAGAGGAAAGGCGCTCCTAAGCTGTCAAGGGCCCAGGAGGGCACACACGGAAGCCTGGGCCCTCTGACAGTTCCAACACATTAACCTCATATGTGCTTTACTAAGACCCTTGCTAGTCTGGGGACAGGACACAGTGGAGAAAAGCCAGTCATGTTTTCATGTGGCCTCTGGCAAAGAGCCAATGGGGTTAGGCATGGTGACACACATCTACAATCCTAGCACCTGGGGGCCTGAGGCAGGCAGATCTCAGAGTTAGAAACCAGCTTGGTCGAGAAAGAGAGAGAGAGAGAGAAGTCAGCCGGGCAGTGGTGGCGCACACCTTTAATCCCAGCACTCAGGAGGCAGAAGCAGGTGGATCTCTGTGAGTTCAAGGCCAGCCTGGTCTACAGAGCGAGTTCCAGGACAGCCAGAGCTGTTACACAGAGAAACCCTGTCTCGGAAAACAAAACAAGCCAATAGCTGAAACTGTTTTGATGATTATTACTTTGTCATATGTTTCATTTGTTAGTTTTTTGGTGTTTTTTTTTTAACCCAAGATAGGGTCTTACTTGCAGCCAGGTCCTCCTGCCTCTCCCCGTGTGGACTGAGGACAGGTCTGTGAACCTCACTCCTGTGTCCCATAGGTGGTGCCGTTGGTCCCGGAGAGGACCTATGGCCTGGATTTCTTTTAATCTGTTCGGCAATAACCTAAGGCCAGTCTTTCAATACTCCGGGGGCAGTTTTCCCAGGTCCTGAGGCTGGGCAGCTGTGGATCCAGTAGAAAACAGGGACTGGGAAGGAGGGGCAGTGGAAGGCTCCCAAGTCCCCAGGGCCTGGGAAGAACTGAGGCTGCCAAGCTCTGGGGGTGCCTGGGAGGGGGAGACACAGGGGGAACAATTCCTGCTCTGTCCAGTGTTTCCCACAGACTCAAGCCAAAGGGAACCACTGCCCAGGCCAGTTCTTCTCTCAGCCAATCCCGGTGCCACCCCCAAATTCCTTTCTCAGATCCCCAACCGCCTCTGTTTAGGACCCCACTGTCCAGGCGCCCCGATTCTTCCTCTCTAAGAACTGAGTGATCTGAACCCTAGATTTCTCCTCTCTTAGACTTAGGACTCTGAATCTTGAGTCTTGTCTCCTGAAGACTTAGAAGATGGGGTGGGCCAGTTCCACCTTCTTTAGAATCTGAAAACACCATTCCTGGTGGAGTTGGGTGCCCCCTAATGGTGGACAGAGTGAGTCGGTTCTGTGATTCATTTAACGTTATGAATCCAGTCGGTGCTGAAAGCAGGCACAGTGAGATCTATAACCTCAGTTTGTGATAATTCCTGGCCAGCCTCTACATCGTAGTGAGAACTTGTCTCAATAACAAAAGTCTGGTTGTTTGTCTGGTTTTTTGAGACGGGGTTTCTCTGCATAGCACTGGCTGTTCTGGAAATTGCTCTGTAGACCAGGCTGGTCTCGAACTCACAGAGATCCACCTGCCTCTGTCTCTCGGGTGTTGGGATTAAAGGTGTTCAAAAAGTCTGTTTTTATGCAATGCTGGATATTTAACCCAGGGTGTCATGCATGCTAGACAGGCACTGTACCAACTACACAAATTTTTAAATTTAATTTTATGTGTTTGAGTGTTTTGCCGGCATGTATGTAAATGCCTGGCACCCAAGGAGGTCACAAGAGAGCATCAGGTCCCCTAGAACTGTAGTTATGGATGATTGTGGGCGCTGAGAATTGAACCTGGAACCCGGGTTCTCTGGCAAGGAGCATCCAGTGTGCTTAACTTCTGAGCCAATGCTCCAGCCTTCATCCTCCTGCCTGTGCCTCCCGAGTGCTGGGATCAAAGGCATGCCTCGTCACTGACACCACCACCTGGCTTCATCTGTATACTTTTTAATGGTTTCTTCTTGCCATTGTGGTGACCCTTAGGTAAGTCGCTTTCTGCACTCAAGAGAGCTTGGTTTTTTGATTCAGCAATAATCCCTAAGTCAGTGCTGGGGACACATCAGTGACCACCGTAGTCCCAGGTCTGGCCTGTGCAATGCAGGTACACATGCTCAATAGTGGGAATATTGGCACTCAGTAGGTATAGGTGGGGAGACTGAGGAGACTAGAGAGTCTGGAGGGCTTCCCAGAGGAAGAGGTACTACCACAGAGCTGAGATCTAAACGATGGGAGAAGAAGCAGAGAGTAAAATAGTAGCTGGTTTTTACGTTTTATTGTGTTGGGGGACATGTCCATGGCACATGTGTGGAGGTCAGAGGGCATCTTCCCTTATGTGAGTCCCAGAACTTGAACTTCCACCAGCGTTACCTTTACACTTTCGATCTTACTAGGTCTTGGCAGTTACCATGTTGGTGGGGGAGGGGCAGGTAACATAATTCATAGTTAGGAGGAGCGGGGATGCTGAGGAGGAAAGAGCCGGCAAGGTCATTTAGCCCGTCAAGAGCAGGATGCGGATCTTTCTTTTCTTTCTTCTTTTTGCTAGACAAGGACTCTAGTACCTCAGACTGACCTAGAACTTGCATGTAGTGGAGGGTGGCCTTAAACATCTGATCCTCCTGTTTCCAGGATTACAGGTGTACCCCACCATGCTTGGCTGGATGTGGTTCTAGAAATGGAACATGGGGTTTCCTGCAAAGGTTGGGAGCTCTATTGAGTTTCACCCCCAGCCATACCTGATATGAACCTAGGTAAGACCGAGACTGGATAGAAAGGTGAAAAATTAAGGGAATGCAGGAAGGAAACTGGAAAGGAGGAGGAGGAGGAGGAGGAAGAGGAGAAAGAGGAAGAAGAGGAGGAGGAGAAGTAGTAGTAGTAGTCTTCTCTCTGGGGATCTGGTTTGCCTTTCTTGTTCAGTCAAAGAGCACTGGCTGCTCTTCCAGGACCCAGGTTCAATTCCCAGCACCCACATGGAAGTTCACAACTGTCTGTAACTCCAGTTACAGGGATAAGACACCCTACACACATGCAGGAGAAAACACCAATGCACATAAAATAAAGATAAATAAATCGCCGGGCGGTGGTGGTGCACGCCTTTGATCCCAGCACTTGGGAGGCAGAGACAAGCAGATCTCTGAGTTCGAGGCCAGCCCGGTCTAAGAGTGAGTTCCACATGAAGTCTGTATTAGTTACTTTTCTGTTGTGATAAAACACCATGACCAAAAAGTAATTTGAAAGAGTTTATTTTGGCTATGGCTCCGGAGAGAGTAGAACATGGCAGGGAAGCAAGGAAACAAGCCGCAGTACGGTGGGTGGTCGGAGCAAGAATCTGAGAGCACATCCGTTTGAAACATGTCAGTCTTGTCAGGGAGTTTCCTAAGGGTGCAAAGCCTATGCAGAACTTGGTTGGAGGCAGCAAACCAAGAGGTCTCCTAACTGAGAATTTGCATTTAGCTTTGTCTCTTTGGGGAGCTCCGATAAGAGGTGTTGGTATGGTATAAAGAAATTGACTTGCTAAAGGTGTGAATTGTACAAGTCTTTTGCTAAGGACAATGGGTCAGTCCACCAGAGGCTTATCTCCCTGCAGCTGGAAAAGGCTAAAATTCATCCTTAAGAGTGCCTCTGTATGGGAAAAGACCTTCACCAACCCCACATCTGACAGAGGACTGATCTCCAAAGTATATAAAGAACTCAAGAAACTAGACATCAAAATACTGAACAATCCAATTAAAAAATGTGCTAAAGAGCTAAACAGAGAATTCTCAAAAGAAGAATTACAAATGGCTGAAAGACATTTAAAGAAATGCTCAACATCCTTAATCATCAGAGAAATGCAAATCAAAATGACTCTGAGATACCACCTTACACCTGTCAGAATGGCTATGACCAAAAACACTGGACA